ATAAAGTACGACAAAGGTGCAATAAACCCTCGAGTCTGCGTTGAGGTTACGTGGATCATAGAATTGGATTTGACGTTTTTGATTCGTGTATTCAATTATCAAATATATCTTTCTTTCTTTCTTTTAATTTTTTTTTTCTCTCCTTAGGTCTTCTCAAAGTACGATGAGACAACTGTTTGAACCACTTAACTCTTCATTCATCGGGCTGTGCTTCTGACGCGCTTTAGGGTTTTTCATTACCCTAACATGCACAAATTTACATTAACTAGAAAAAAAAGAAAAAAAAAAAAAATCTAAATGAGAAGAATGCAGTAGATAATTCATATGTTTGATTCCGATTAATTACATTTTTTATTTTAATTTTTTTTTACCACTTAATTACTACTATGATTAATTAATTTTGAATATAAGTATGTGTGATGAGATTTGATTTAATGGATGTAGATAACGATGTTCTTCTCAATTTTTTTTTTTTTTTTTGTTTTTACCTTTTACTAAAGAGGTATAGCATTACACTCATCCGGCCTAATTTTTCACCTCCCTGAAAGTGTTAAATTTCTTTGATTTACATGTTAAACGTAAATTTTAAAGCATTTTGTGTGTTCTTGAAAATCTTGGCATGCATTAATCATGATCGAGTGGATAATACAAGTTAATGTAATTTACTTTTAAGCTAGTGCATTAATTCAAAATTAAGCACAAGTGGAAAGTTTATTCCTAATTTTTTTTTGTTAAATAGTAAGTAGTATCATTAAAAGAGAGAAAGAATATACAGAGAGACCATAAAAAAACCGGTCATCCTACCTCAGGACAGACTATGAGATAAGAACAAAAACATAAGGCTAATAGACCACAAACTCAATCTCCTTTTGTTTGTTTATCTTAAGCGTATAAAAGATAGGAGACAAAAACATTTTACCACAAGACATGTCTTGGGATAAGATCTACAAAAAAGACCTAAACAAGACTAAAAATAACTATATACAACATCATTCTTACCTTAGGATAAGCCTTGAATTAGGAAACTTAAATACTATAATCAACCAATTAGTTAACTAACCTCCCTTGAAAGGTTTTATCTATTACGATTGTTCCAATGCAATCGAGACAAACTTAAATACCATAATTTTATTATTCATGTTTCATATATAAAAATATATTTGCATATTAATCAATTAACGTGTGTAAAAGTAAGTGATTTATATTGTGCTAGTGCTCAATTAATATAATATAATGTCTTCCAACAATCATTCATTATATCAATAAATTAACTATATATATAGTACAAAGCATGTTAATTAATTAGACCCCATAAAAACTAGTATTAGAGTATAACTTTTGAGACTGCGAAAATCAACAATGATTGATTTAGTGTATAAATTTCAGCCATATTGTAAATATTATATGTTCACATGGCATAGTGAAAGAGCATTAAAATTTTCTTTCAATTGCTGCATTCCTTAAACTCCACTACATATCCCCATGCTCCATTTTTTTTTTTTGCCCGTCAAAACCCTAAAATTATTATAAAAATGAGAACCAATTTCAACTTTAGATTAGTGAATTTATAATATATAGAACAAGACCAGACTCAAACCGACCAATCACCATAATAGTTTTTTATTACGAATATGTTTCCTTAAATATAATAAACAATGAAGTTGTCACATAAAGAAGAATGATGATAATGATTTAATTTAGTATTTAATAAGAATGAAAAATACAGGGTTCATAAAATTCCACATATATACATCAGAAGGCGTATGGTTGTTAGCAGCAATTCATACTTCTAGGTGTTTTCATATGCTATAGGTCATCGTACATTTTCTAATTTGACGAAGAAATTCGTGGTCAAATTTGGCTCTGTTGAGATTCAATGTCTCCATTGCACCTACTGGTAGATGGATTTGATTGATTAATATATGATTAAGTTGTTTAAGGATGAATTAATATAATAATAATGAATAACTAAACTTTCTCTATAGTAAAAAATTTTAGAATTGGCTATAGGAAATATGAGCGAGCGCAATTACTCATTTCATGCTTACACACAACCTTTATTATTGTTTAATTATGAGTTAGGTAAGTCATAAGTCAATTGTAATGTTGTACTAACTCAAGCTTAATTTCTCCATTTGGAGGCTTGGACTTTGTCATTTTTTTCCTCAAATTTGCCTTTTTAGGTTTCTTTTTTCATCTACAATTTGGTTAATTGAGTTGTTAGGTGTGTAACCCTGCATGCCTCTCAAAAGCCAGAAACAAATTAAAGACCTTTTCTTTGGAAGCGTTTTGATCGTCATATTTTCCAAGTTGAATGTTCCTTGGATAGTTGGATTCAATACCAGAACTCTTCCATAGAAAAATTTCCGCAACAAAAGATGTTTTTATTGAGACTTTTATTGACAATAATTGAATACAAGAGGTCTATAATTTTACTAACTACATAGACTAATTTCTTTTCCAACACACTCTCTTTCTTCGTCCATTTTTTTTTCCTTTTATTTTTTTCTTCTTTTAAACAGCACAGTCAATTGAATAACCCTAACTAGGACAGAAATCTTTACTCTTTAGAGTTAATGCTGAAAGAGTCAGTTGATGAAGAAGGGATTTAGCCAACTCTTCAATGAAGCTTATATAATGTATTAATTAAGAGGTTAAAAAGGTTTTAGGGTTCAACTCCCCATATAAAATTCCCAAACTCTAACCTAATAAATGAATAAATTTAACCCTTTTTTTAACTGGGATGCGTTAAATGTTTCGCATGGCTATTATTAATTATTTATAAATTAAGGTACTTTATTTGATATGGTGCTTATAATATTGAGTATTTTAAGGTCGTAATCTATTTAATATTTATCGAATAACCTATTTATTAAGATCATTAATTATATACTAATATGCTTCCTGAACACGTGGTATGGTATCCAATGTAAACCTGAATTTAATAAGGTTTACATCAAACATCATATATATATTAATTAACCTATCTTAATAATAATTAATTAAACATAGATCGACCAATTGATGAATTTCAAGTGAATCCAACAACTGGATAATTGAATTATAAACATTATTATTTAGCATCTCTGATGTTTATTAGAATAAGATTGAATGGTTTTGTCAGAGCATCTCTTCAGTTCTAGTTAGTTAGGCTATCTCTTTCAACAGTGTTGGCCGTGAGCTGCACCTCTCTATTTTCTTATTAATAAAAACCATTTTAACGTAATCATATATTAATACCTTAATCAATCATTTATATCTCTTATTTATTCTCAACAACCTGTTTAATTAGTTCATCTAATAAGAGCTCTAACAGNACCTGAATTTAATAAGGTTTACATCAAACATCATATATATATTAATTAACCTATCTTAATAATAATTAATTAAACATAGATCGACCAATTGATGAATTTCAAGTGAATCCAACAACTGGATAATTGAATTATAAACATTATTTAGCATCTCTGATGTTTATTAGAATAAAGATAGAATGGCTTGGTCAGAGCATCTCTTCAGTTCTACTTAGTTAGGCTATCTCTTTCAACAGTGTTGGCCGTGAGCTGCACCTCTCTATTTTCTTATTAATAAAAACATTTTAACGTAATCATATATTAATACCTTAATCAATCATTTATATCTCTTATTTATTCTCAACAACCTGTTTAATTAGTTCATCTAATAAGAGCTCTAACAATTGGTTAACCCAATTGAAACTCACCTTTTAAATACGATTTAAATTACAATCAATATAATAATAAAAGGGTCCATTTGATTTATGATTTGCAAATATTTTCAAAATCTAAACATATAATTCAATTTTTTTAGTTGTGTATTAATATTTTTAATATATTTGATATAATATTTAATCTTTTTTTAATAATTTTATACTAAAACTCATGATTGTATCTTAAAATTATATTTGAAAGCATTTTCACTTATGTCTATCAAATGTTTTCAAAAGATTTTTGAGAAATTTAATTATAGTTAATAAAAAGAAACCATCCATGAGTAAGAGAACAAAATACAGATTAATTAATTAATTATATATAATTAAAATGAAGGAGAATTGAGGCAGTCAAGAAAGGGTGGCCGTGACGGCTTAAATGGTAAAAAGAAGAGGGCCGTTTAGGGTGGGGTGAGGAGGCGACAAGAGTAGGACCCACGCGCCGCAGCACCATCCCCCACTTGCCCTTTCTCCTCCAATAATATTAATTATTTAATTAATTTAAACAAATAAATTGTCCATTTCCTCTCACGTCTGTTTGTTTCTTCGGCCAATTACTTTAACCAAACTTGGTCAACTTAGTCCCCTTAACCATGGTTAATTAATCTAATCACATTCACTATCAATGTTAATTAAAATCTTTAATAAAAGTCCAAGCCCCCATGACCTTCTAACCCCACCCACACAATCCCCTCCTCTAGGGTTCTTTTACTCAATTCTTTATTTCATTACATTAAATATCAAATCTCTACATGTCTTTCTTTTCGCGTGAAACTAACGACCCAATCATTTTTTTTTTCTTCTTTTTAATATTATATAATTTATCATTTAACTTATAATATTATTATCATACTTTCTATATATCAACAAAAGTAACACTTTTTTAAACATTATTTATGGATATCTAAATAAAAAAAATTAAATCATAACTGTAATTTAATAAGTTATCATGCATATCAATGTAGTCGACATAAACAAGTGTAAATATAAAAAAAATATGCAAATTGAAGTTAACTTAAGTGAGGTTTTTTTTTTTAATAAATTATTAATTTTTGGCTTAAACTTATGTGTTACAATTAGACCAACTACTTGTCAAGTTCAAATACAGTTCATAGAGAGAGCTATCGCGTTGGTTTCACGCACTGTAAATGAGAGTTCAGATTGTTTATTAAATATTTATTTAAGAAAAAGAAATTAAAAAAAAGGGTTAAAAAATTTCGTATTATAAATATTTAAAAAGTTATAAAGAAATGACTGCGTTTTAGAGTGATTGTCCCCTCTCCTTTCTTCTTCTCCTTCTTGCCTTTCCTTTCTCTGCACTCGACCTTCGCTTCTCCCTTGTTGTTTTTGTTATTAAAAAAGAAGAAGAAGAGAAAAAAAAAAAAGATAAAAATTTATTCATCTCTCTATTCAAATCTATTATTCTTGGAGTGCCGAAGCTTTCTCTTTCTCTTTCCTTTCCCTTTCTTTTTATTTTTCTTTCTTCTTTATAAAATAAACAAACCCATAAACAGTTTTTAATTTTTATTTTAATCTTTGTTTTCCTTGTTTTCTGTTTTCTTTTGATGTTGGCATGGCCGGTTTGGATTTAGGCACAGCTTCTCGCTATGTTCACCAGCTTCATAGACCCGACCTTCACCTTCAACACCAACCTGATCCCGAAGACCACGACCACAACAACAATCGAGTTGGTTCCGGAGCCGCTGGCGATCACTACCACAACGACGGCGTTGATCACCAAGGCCTTGACCTCGTGGCAGCAGCTAACTCGGGCCATGGAGACCTCGTCGCTCGTCGGCCCAGAGGTCGTCCACCCGGTTCGAAAAACAAACCGAAACCTCCCGTTATAATCACTCGGGAGAGCGCCAACACTCTTCGAGCCCACATTCTAGAGGTGGGAAATGGGTGCGATGTGTTTGACTGTGTGGCGAACTACGCTCGGAGAAGGCAGCGAGGAATCTGTATTCTGAGTGGAAGCGGAACGGTCACAAACGTGAGCATAAGGCAACCCGCGGCAGCAGGAGCAATAGTGACTCTTCATGGGAGATTTGAAATATTATCATTGTCAGGTTCTTTTCTGCCACCACCGGCTCCTCCAGGTGCAACAAGCTTGACAATCTTTTTAGCCGGAGGTCAAGGACAAGTTGTTGGGGGAAGCGTGGTGGGGGAGCTGACAGCGGCGGGGCCTGTGATCGTGATCGCAGCGTCTTTTACAAATGTGGCGTATGAGAGGCTGCCGTTGGAGGAGGACGAGCAGCTGCAGATGCAGAGTAGTGGAGGTGGTGGTGGTGGCGGTGGCGGCGGTGGAGGTGGAAATAACTTGTTTGCAGATGCGGCGGGGGCTGCTGCGGCGGGTCTCCCGTTCTTTAATTTGCCGCTGAATATGCCTCCAAATGTGCAGTTGCCGGTGGATGGATGGGCAGGAAACGCAGGTGTTAGGCCTCCGTTTTGATCATGAGAATGAATTAGCGGTAAAATTATTTGACTGCAATGTGATCTATGAATGTTGGAATTGATTGTGGCTGTGTTGGAGCACTACTTTGCAGTGGGTGAGAGAGTTGGGATTCTTGGATAAGTAAAGGTCAGGAATTTATGTACTATCATCCTCATCATAAACTTTGTTTCTCGTTTCTTCTTCTCCTTCTTCTGTTCATGTTAATTTTAGGGCTTTTCTTCTTCTTCTTCTTCTTCCATTTTCTTGTTTCTTTCTTTCTTATCCTCCTCCTTCTTCTTGGGTTTTTGAACTGTACTGATTTATGGAAATAGTCTTCGTGTTAATGGTGGAATTCTCTTCTCTCTTTTATAAGAAATCAATGGTTTGATGATATATTTCTATTATGTTTAGAAACTGAGAGTTCTTAATCAATCAACTAGGGTTTCTTTTCTTCTGTATTCCATTGTTAAGGATCTCATCTAACTTTCCATATTTATGCCAACGGGTACTAATAATCTTATTTCTTTCTTTGTTCAAATAGAGTATTCGTTGGTTTTTTATGTTTACCATATAAAGAGTTTATTTAACCAAATCTTTGTATGATTTAGTAGCATACATAGGTTTGTGTTTTGTTTCTTTTTTTGCATTGTTTTCAGGAGAGAATAAATACAACAGTATAAAAATATAATCAAAAGAGCAAGGATTTACTCAATGGATAATTCTTTTTTGTGGAAGGAGTTGTGTTGTCTCCCAACCAACACAAATTCATTTATGTTAGAAGGGTGATTTTCTTGTTCTTGTTCTAGTTCTCTTGGAAATGATCCTCTCCATCTTGTTTTCTATTAAATGACATTCCCTCTCTTCTAAACCTTTTAATATCAAAAACTTCAGAAATTAATAATACTTAACAGATGAAGATATTAAATGATAATTGCCCATGCTTTATGCCTCGTCTAATTCTTGTCAACTAAAAGTCCTTTTGAAATAAAGCCAAAACTATGTTCTTCCATCTGTAAATTAATATTTTCTTTAGTGTTCCAATATACCTACTCTCTGTCTCCGAGATGGGAATTGTGGTTTGACCATCTTTAAAACTTCTCGTCTCTCCTTGTTATTATGTTAGTAGGGGTTCGATCAGCTTGAAAAAACATTGACCTCTTATTATGGTGATCATCTACTCAGATTCCAATGTTTCCATTCTTGATACTTTTAGAAATCTATTGGGGAAGCAAAGGGCAGTGTTGGAATAGAAGGATTGCCATTCTATCTCTGAACACACACACACACACACACACACTCGGTTAGGCACTTAGCACACTGGAAGAGAAGCACACAAACTTGGAAACGTCGTAGTTCTATATATATATCATCATCTCTCTTCCTCTTCCAGTGATGACAATAATTTCTTCATCATCGAATATTGTGTTTGCATAAATACTTTCTTAATCTTTTAGTTAAACTGTTCTTCTATCGCCTTGCTAAATATTTATATATATCACCACTTTAATCACATATTAATTAAATTCTCAGCTTCTTCGAGTGGGAAATAACCTAAGTAAAAATAGTTCATAGGCCTATAATTAGTAATAAAACTCCAAAGTGGTCTGTTTAAAATCTAAAATAATATCTATTATATCTCTATATATATATTGCTAGTCAACTCTTTTGGGTGTGTTTGTTAATTAATTACGAGATATATCATACTATATATTTAGATGAGATTATGTTTCCCTTTAGAGCTTAATTAGTTTAATAGCTCGATCATTCTCTTCAAAAGATTGGGTTTTATATATTTGTTATGAGACAGAGTTATATATGATTAATTTTCTGTTGCAACTTAAGTTCTTGACAAATTAAATGGTTAATTATTGCCATTCTCGCCTGGCAGTGAATCTTTTGTAGTAGCCAGTAACCCTTGAGTGAAGATTAAAGCCATTTACATCAGTCACGATCAGGTTGCTGATGGGCAGTTAGGTTTAATTCAATTACATCGGAAAACTGGAGGCTAAAATATTATATAAAAAGATGAATCGTTGTCATCTGGCTTTATTCTCCACTGCGAATCTAAATATATGCAGCATGCCTAGAGCTAGGTTCTGTGTTAATGGAGAAAGTGCATGCCTTACAAACCAATGATACTCCTACTGATCATGAACATTGATGTAATGAAATCTCATAGTGCTTGTCTTTGAAGAATTGCATTTGATTCCTTAAAGCACTTTTGTTTGAGAATATGCTTCATATTAATTATTTCTTTTGTGGTTTCTCAGATCATCTTTCGATTAATTACAGTTTGAATGATGGTGGAGTTAATTAGATAATTAATATATATAAACACCATCAAACAAAGGTTAAATTATTAGCAGGAACTCGTATGTTTTAGATGAACAACCGTATCCTTCTGCTCGGGAGATCTTGAAGCTATTGGACAAATTGATTTCATCTGTTGCATTAAGTAAGACTAACTATCTAGCTAATATTAATTTAATTTAATTGCTCAACTGCACTACTTTGCAGGATGTTGAAGTGAAAACAAACGCTATCCTCTTTACAGTAAAATGATCAATTTCTGGTCTTAATCTTTTGAATTAAAATCAATAGATATTAATTATTTAGTTTATAAGTTTGCTTTCTCAACAAATTCGGCCCTTCCTCTCATTTTAGGCATGTTTTTTCAATAAATTGTTTTTCCTCTTACCGTTTTAGGCATTCTGTTGATAAATATGCTTAAATTTTACAAAGTTCAAGTTTATCCTCTATGCAACATAAAAACTTTGAAGAAGTCGGGAAAAAAAAAAAAAAAAACCCATTTGCCTAGAAAACATGGAAGTAATTAGCATAAGTTCTATTTTGAATGGATATGCAAATTTATAGTTAGAAGTATATATTGTTCACACTTATCAATTATTAAACATGTTCTCGCGTACTAGGTAATTTATCTTGACGTATATATGCCAACATTTTGGGACATAGTTCTTATTTATTCCGATATATTATTTACGTCGGGAGAACCAAATTTTCCTTACGGATCATAAGAAAAAATGTTCAAATCCTTCAATTGTTAATTTGGTTACCTTGGATAAGTCTTTGAGAAATTAAATTAATGATCAAAGTTAGCTTGCTTCTTAATCAATATTTGTAATTAATTTAATTTAATTTAATTTTTCTTTTCCAAATCTTGATCGTGAGTTGATGAGGAGCAGATAGAGAAGACGATGAAATGATATGATTTCTGAGAGAAACTTGAATACTAGTTAGGAAATTAACGAAGATCTTAATTAATTAGTTTTAGGAAGAAAACTTATAAAATAAAGAATTGGAAGGAAGCCATGAGTTGGAATGATGATTAAGAAAACCTTGATTGAAACACGAGGTGACCGGGTCTTAATATCAAATTATATTATGCCAAGCCTATATGCTTACATTATTTGATTCTAAGCTGTCACCTTTTGCAGATAATCAAGCTGCCGCAGTTGATTTTTATATTCAATTCCCACAAACAATACATTAAGTTATTTAATTAAACAATGTTCATACTTAATTAATTAAATTTTTAATAAAGTAAAGACACTATATTGTAACCGCATTTCCAAAGACTAGGCTTCAGTTTCTGCTTAGTAATTATGGAAGAGTCGACAACGATGATGATGCATCGTACTACGGAGTTTCTTTTCTAATTAATTTTAAGTTTTGTTAATTGTAATATTAATTTTAATTAATCACCTACTTTGAAATGCATAACATTAACTAAATTTATATGTATAATTTTGTCATATCTTAAGCATGACATGAAAATGATTTTGACATTAATGTGCTATGAAATTAATGAATGCTGCTATCTTAAATGTTTCAAACAGTGTTTATCTCATCATAAAGATTGACTAATTAATGCAGTACTTAATTAAGTAAACTAATTGGGAGCAAGACAAAATTAATGAGCAATTGATGCTACAAGAGAGGGAGACGAATAAATAAAGGCATTCATTTGTTTGTGCCTCATGAGAGCATCATTATATACACGAAAATAAATATTTAATGGGTAATTTTATTCAGTTATATGACCGTCTGAAGACATTAACTGTTCACATGGCGAATTTAATAATCAAAATGAAAAGAAAAGAAAACATTATTAAACCATCTTAATGGGCACTGTCAGTGGAGTCATATTGGCATTATATAACTTGAAATATTTGGAATCCATTAATATCTTTGGAGCTATATCAAATAATGAAATAGATGTCATTTTATTGTATATATATTAATGTCCCATAAGATTTGTATATAGTGAATTTACGTGCAATAAATTCTCTGATTATTTAATGCACATGCACATATTAGGGATTATGATATATCTAACTTCAAATTTTGATACAAATTTTCAGTCTAATCTTTCCATTTATAAGACATAAAATATAATAAACAATTCTCTCTATTATGTTATCATAATATCACCCAAAACTTTCTCATATTAGAGATTATATATTAAATATTTTCTCGGGTTTGAACTTAAAATCATAATCTAAAATGGAGATTTATATATGAAGCGAGCTAGTATCAACAGAAAAAGAGCGAATTTTGAGAATGATGAAGAACACTTGAGATGGGCATTTGTCTTGAGTTGGGCCATACAAGAAATATGACACAAAGGTAAAGATACTTTTGAACATTATTTATTTAGTTTCTATACTTTTCAACTTTATTTAGTTTTCTTCCTTCCACTATCACAAATCATTATACGTATAAAAGTAAATAATAATAAATAAATAAATTGCTAAGTGGTGTTGTTTGTCTCTCACTTATCTCAAAAGAAGTCTTACTTCTTAATATTTTTAAATTACCTTAAAATAAATATGAATTACCAGTTAATTTCTCTCTATAATTACTTTTTACACACCCACATCCATTAATAAATAAAGAGATATTCCATAATATGAAAACCATATCACTTAATCATTTACACTTCAATATGAATCGTGTGAAGTCATTTTGTTGATATTTTTGTCAAACTTATGTTATAGTGACACATTTTGCCAAGTGACATTTTCTCTTTGTTGTTTACCCATCAAGTTTATTTTGATTCATGATATTCATTGTGATCTAATTTTACATGTGTCACAATTTCCTTATGTGGTTCTAAAAGGTTGTAAGACTTTGTCTGTGGTCACCCAAGAAAGAGAAAAGATATGTTTGTGGTCTAACAAAAAGTTGAAATTCTTTTTGTCCACCGCGTGTTCAACTTTCAGACTTATGCCTTTTGCTATTTCATTTCATATGTGTGTACAATGAATGTGTGCTTGTACACTTATGTCAAACATATTTCAAGAAAAATAAATTAGAGACGCCATTCATCGGGTGTCTATCTTTAAGAAGAATGGTAAGGTCATAAGCTTTTTATATGGTATGTTTGTCTTTTTGAAAAATAAAATAAAATTGGTAATGGTTATGTGGAATTCAAAAGCTTCTTTAGGTGATGAGTGAAATTTTTATCGAAGAAAAAATAAAATATAAACACGGATATGTCTAATTATCTCCTTCAGCAGCACAACCAGATGCCCAGTATAGGCCCTATCAAACTGAAGCCCACTTATTTCACATTTAGCAGGATAGTTCTGAGAGCACCGGGTCTAATTAGGGTCATTAAATTAATTGAATCTTAATTATATAATTTTAAATTAACATTTCTCGATGCTTCATCAATCAGACCTTTTGTAACCTTATTTTCTTTGTTTCTTAAAGACACAAAGGTAAAGATACTTTTGAACTTTATTTATTTAGTTTCTATACTTTTCAACTTTATTTAGTTTTCTTCCTTCCACTATCACAAATATATATATAAAAGTAAATAATAATAAATAAAAAAATTGCTAAGTGGTGTTGTTTGTCTCTGACTTATTTCAAAAGAAGTCTTACTTCTTAATATTTTTAAATTACCTTAAAATAAATATGAATTAGTAGCTAATTTCTCTCTATAATTACTTTTTATTAGGAGTGTTCAAAAGAACTGATTGGAACCGGAACCGACGGGTACCCTGACTTTGGTTCCGGTTCCTACCCGAAACCGGCCGTCAACGGTTAGGTTTCGGTTCCAAATTTTTGGAACCGTTACTGTAGCTTCCGGTTCTTATAGTTAGGAACCGGAATTGGAATCTGGAACCAAGACTAATATAAAATAAAATTAAAGAGTAGGGGGTTAATAAAAACTTTTGTAGAAAAAGTAATGTAAATACATTTATATTTATATTTCATAACATTTAAAGTAAGTTGGTTTGACTTTTGAGAATCTATCTTTACAAAGTAATGGAGTTTGTAATTTTGAATTTATAATTTGTAATTTTATTTTTGTTAGCAAGTTCCAGGTGGAGGGGTATTTGTAAGTTTTTAAGGGTTTTTTTTGTCATTTTAAAAACTTTTGAGGGGTCATTGTAATTTTATAGGGTACCCAGAATCGTTGTTACAGGTTCCGGTTCTGGGTACCTAGGAACTGAAACCGTCGATTCCGGTTCCAAATTTCAAGGAACCGTTGGTTCCGGTTCCTTCAAAAAATGCAGGGTACCCGAAACCTAACACCCCTACTTTTTACACACCCACATCCATTAATAAATAAAGAGATATTCCATAATCTGACAACTATATCAATTAATCATTTACACGTTAATATGAATGGTGTGAAATCATTTTATCGATATTTTTGTCAAACTTATGTTATGGTGACGCATTTTGCCAAGTGACGTTTTCTCTTTGTTGTCTTGCCTATCAAATTTATTTTGATTAATGATATTCTTGTGTGATCTAACTTTACATGTGTCATAATTTCCTTATGTGGTCCTAAAAGGTTGTAAGACTTTGTCTGTAGTCCCCCAAGAAAGAGAAAAAATATGTTTGCCTTTTGCTCTTTCATTTCATGTGTGTGCACAATGGATGTGTGCTTGTACACTTATGTCATATGCATGTTGCATTTCATTTCGTATTTTACTTCGTGTGTGCGCACACCTTTCTGCTGTGCTAAGCTGTGCTAATATCGCATGTCTGACTCATTTTTCAGAAGTGGCATTTTTATCCTTAACAGCTAAGATATTCTCCTTGCATCTTTTCTGTTGTCATTTAGACCACTTATAGGTGTCCCAATATCCTTTAGTGGTCTAGGAAAAATCAGCATTTTTCCCCTTTTGGTTATGGTCCTCAATTAAAGCTGAATAAATTTCTATTTTTGGACCAACAAATGTCAGCCTCTGTTTGCTGGCCAGAATTGGAGTGCATGAATTTGGGTTTATTTTCTCCATTCTTGCGACCTGTTTGGCTAACCTTTATATATATATATATATTTTGCCTTGTGCTCTGAAACTTTCACAGGGTTTTTTTTTCCTTAAAGATTCCTCGTATGTTTTTGTGCTAAACACTTATTATCCTTCATCTTTGTTGAGCTAAACACTTATCATCCTTCATCTTTGTTGAGCTAAAAGGAAGTTCATCTTCTTCCTTATTTGTTTTCCTTTTTGAATCTGAATATCTATTTCGTTGGTGCTCTGAATTTTTTAGAGAGTTGTTTTTGGTTAGGTTCTTTTATATGGGTTTGTGGTAGAAACTTTCTTGTTTGTCTTCATTGTTGAATGACGGCTAGAACGTGGTTCCTTTGCTGATGCTGGAGCGTGTCTTCAGCGACTGAAGTTTCGCTAGAACTCAAGCGTTTTCCAAGAGTGAACTTGGTGTGAAGAGATCCGTGGTGCAACAAGACGTTAGAGATTCAAAGGGTGATGTTTAGTGTAACTAGAACATGAAGTTATCTTAGCTGTAGCTAAAATCAATTTTGAACTATATCTTGTAATGTTTGTTGATTAGTGGATTTGCTTCAATCTGGACGAGGTCTCATGGATGTAGACTAAAAGTGGATTTAGCCAAATCATGTATATGTTGATGTGCTTTACATTTATAGTTTGATTATTTTTTATTTATTGTAAACCTGACTGTGTTAACACAACTTGGTAAATCATTCCGTTATGTCTTTAAAAATGGGTACCTAAACGTTAAATAGAGTTCACCAACTCTAACACATTTCAAGAAAAATAAATTAGAGACACCATTCATCGTGTGTAGTGGCAGATCCAGGATTTTTGCTTAAGGGGGGCCTTCGCGACTCCACCATTATTTGCCAAAAAAACTAGTGAAAACTTTAAAAAATCACCAAATCTTAAGCAAAGAAAATAATATAATATCAAAAATCTGAGAGAAAATAATGTAATAACACAATACTTTCCTACTTGAATAAATCTACGAGAAGCAAAATTTTAAGTAAATCTTGAGCAAAACATTCTTTTATTTTATTATTTTATTATTTTTGGCTTCCAAATATTACAATATAAATTTTCATGATTTTTATCAGACATAGCCTAAGCTAAAGTCAACTAAAACTTAAATCAAGTCAACGTTGCGTTGACTTTTAATATGAATTAATTAAAAAAAAAAGGGAATTTTTTTGGTATCAACATAGATAATAACTCAAATTTCTTTAATAATTTTAAGCAACTAAATTGTGATATTTGAAATGTAGGAAAGTGGTGGCAGAAGAATGAAGAATAAGTCATTTAAAATATAGTTCAGGTTTTAATTTGAGAAAGTAGGTTCATTCTTAAACACAAAACACAAAATAAACTCACAAAATCCATGTCTTTTTTTCTCAAATTAGAATAAAAAACCTCTTAAAAAACAAGCATGATTCAATTCTAAAATAAACTGAATTGAAATTAGCAATACATACATATACACACCCCTAAAACAGATAAAACAGAAAACAGTTAATTGTGGTACCTTGAGTAGTGAAAACTTCAACAATTTTAGTCTTCAAAAGTTTTAAAAGCGAATAGCATGGAAAAGAGAATGAGAGAATGGGAGAGTGAAGAATTTTGAGGATAAAATCATAAAAAATAAGTGGACTCGTAAAGAAAAAGAGTAGAGAGAATTTTAAACTTTTAATATGATGTGGGTTTGAAATATATATATTAATAAGTTTTTTGTGGGCTTAAATATATGGATATATGTACAATAATTCTCATTTTTTTAAAATCTAAAAGTGGGCTTAGGTATATATATTAATAACAATTTTTTGTGGACATATTTATTAGTAATTTTTTTTTTTTTTAAATATGAGGCCTACCCTCAAAGGGGCTGAATCCGCCCCTGATCGGGTGTCTATCTTTAAGAAGAATAGTAAGATCATAAGCTTTTTATATGGTATGTTTGTCTTTTTGAAAAATAAAATAAAATTGGTAATGGTTATGTGGAATTCAAAAGCTTCTTTAGGTGATAAGTGAAATTTTTACCGGGGAAAAAAAATAAAATATAAACACATAGGGATTTCTAATTATGTCGTTCACCAGCAAAACCAGATGCCCAGTATAGGCCCTTTCAAACTGAAGCCCACTTATTTTACATTTAGCAGGATAGTTCTGAGAGCACCGGGTCTAATTAGGGTGATTAAATTAATTGAATCTTAATTATATAATTTTAAATTAACATTTCTCGACGCTGTGTATTTTACCAGAAATGGTTATCAAAATCAATTGATTTTTATCGTGTAACTATAATTTCATATTAAATTAGCAAGGAAATAGTGCTGGTCATCACTCACCATCACCCATCAAACTTTTTTTTTTTTCCCCTTTTTCTCTAAGCAATTGTCATGTCACTTCACCGGAAATCTCTAAAACTTAGAATATAAACGAGAAAGGTTGTGATTATAAGAGATTGATGTGGTCAATCTCAACAACTTAATAGGTAGATTGCACTTTCTTTCAATTAAGATAACTCAATGTAAATGACAATTACCAAACTTTTGTCAGTTCCATTTCAATATACAAAGTTAATGAAATGGGCAGAAACCAAACAAATAAATTAACCAGGTTTATTAAAGTGCCATTGTTGAGCTTTGGCACAAAAACGATTTTCCTTCAATTTTAGGAAACTTGGGGTAATAAGCATTAGTTTCCCAAAATTGAAGAGAATAACAATTTTACACCAAACCTGAAGGACGTACGGCAAGTAATTAACTGTAAATTAAAGTGCTATCTATATTATGTGCAGAAATGAAAAAGAAGCATATGGGGAAGATAATCGATGTTGAGAAGTAATGAAAAAAATAAGAGAAGAATCTATTGTATTTGTATTAACTTATATATTAATCGTTATTACAATGATGGATCAGTTGTTATACATAAAATTTATGAAACGCAGAAGCACAATCTAATAATCTTGAGCGTAGAAGTCATTAATCTCTCTGACATTAAGCTGAAACAAAGAAGAACAATCGTTATACATCAACCACAACATGTGCTCAAACAAAATTGCATCTACATCCACTAATATTACTCTTTTTTCCCTCTTTGTTTCTTCAATACTATTGTTCTTCTTCTTCTCCTTCTTCTTCATGACTGTATCAATCAAAACCCTAAAAGGGTTTTCTTCTAACACAAAAGGGTCCACCAGAAACTCTCTTTTCTCTTTCCCCACCACCACAGTCACCGGCGGAGCGGCCTCCAAGCAGCCAGCTTCTTGTGTGAGAGGGTGATATGCCAAGCGTGAGCGCTTTCGCAGAATTGAAACAGGCAAAACCAAGCAATCCATTGATGTTTTAGAAGAAAATGGAGGAGGAAGAAGGCATGTATATATGTGTATATATGTGTATAATTTTTGATTTATAATGTATAATTTATATAAATGGATTATCGATGGATGGATGGGGACGTTGGTTGGAGCTGAGAAGTGAAAGTGAAGGTTTTGATGAAAGGGCGCGTTTGACAGCTTCCCTTTGGAATAGGCCAGCTAACGGCTATACGCATTTTATAAGCAAAGCAAAGCTTAAGGGAATAGGGAAAATATCACTAAGTACCCTGGAGTTTGTGAAATTATTTGAGATGTATTACTATTGTGTTTTTATCAAAATAGTACATTTTTTTTTTTAAGTTTTAAATATTAGTTGGATAGAGAGAGAATAATTAGCTACCTCTCTCTGATAACTTAAAGCGTTTCTAAGCATTTCATGGCACTACACACGATAGAGAGAGAATAGCACCATGGTCATCTTTTATGTTAATTGTAGAAGACCATTTCTAACATATGTAGAAAGTTTTTGAACTTGTTTAGGATGATAGTCAACTAGATATTATCTCGTAAAAATATTTTTAAAATTCCATTTTTAATCCTCAAACTCGACGAGGGTTTGAATATTTCTCGATTAACTTAAAAGTATAAAGTTAAAACCAAGGTAATATGGTCTTTCAAACCTTAGACATTAAAGCTAAGGTAACCAAGGAATGAACTAGATTAGTTTTTCATGATTATTATTTATTTTTGAGTAATACTACACCAATAACTTTTTTTCACATTTTTTTTCTCACAACCCTAATGTGACAGCTCGTAATTAATCAGTGAGACTTATGCGGGATCCGTTATAAACTGACCAATTACGAGCTATAAAAAAGAACCAAAAAAAAAAAAAAAAAATTTGAGGATACCCTTTTGATAAAAAAATACAATTATGACTCTTTCTTGATAATTTCATAAACAATAGGGATAGTTAGTGATATTTATGGAAAGGTGAATTGAATTTTATAAATGTTAGGTTTGGTGATATGACAATTGACCGGCTTTGAATACGTTAATTAAAATGCTTGTTGGCAATGGCAAAACAGCCGTTGGAGTGATGCTGAATATTCTTACTTTGGAAGTAGTTGAATTGTCATTCGAATAAACTTGCCGACTTATTACACGTGTCTTACGTCCCATTTCTTCATACATGACCACTTGACTTGTTCATTATCTCCCATGGAAAATCTGGTTAAATTTAGGTAAATATGCAATTTGTTGTTAATATATCAGCACGACGAAAAGGGATGATTTATCTTATGCTTAATTCATTGATTGTTGTTGTTAAGCACTAACTTTGATGCAAATTATAGAAAGGCACGTGTCATTTTGATTCATCCCAAGTCTCATTTATTGGTGTTCCCAACAACAAATTACATTCAATTAAGAATTGAAGATCATCTTTGGTTACATTGTTGATTTTTGTGTATTTATTAAATGTGTTAAAAAATTTTGTGTATTGAAAAAAATAGCGTGATTTATGGCATAAAATAAGACATAAGATGTCAATTTCCTCGGCCAAAACCACAAACCCACATTTAAATCTGAAGGTACAAAACAAAGGAGAATAATAAAAATAATAATAATGGTAGAAAATGAGAGAAATATGAAGTTTGATAATCCAAATAGTATGGTATACTCAGTCAAAAGATGAAACAAGCTTTGATAATTTCAATTTGGTAGTTATCCAACTTTGTATTTGACTTAAGACAGCGTTAAATGTAGCCGTCCTTACACTCTATTGTCGGCTGTAAGTGATAATAAATAATAGAAATAGTTGACTGGTTATACATGGTTTCTATTTTCTAACCACGCCAAATTACAAAGAAATTTAGAATATCCGTAAATATTTAATATGATGATAGAGAAAAAAAAAAAACCAAAATGTGAGATGGCAATTTGATCTAACAGGCTGCATTTCCTCATCTATCAACAATAACTATTGCATCAATCAGAGATGCGAAAACAAGAAATATGAATAAAGAGCGAAAAACAAATACCCAATCTGAATGGGAAAAACAAAAGGTCTTCCACCATCTGTATTTCAATGATAGGCATGTTAGCAAAATAGGAATTCAAATCTATCCACTATGCAAGAACAATTACCATGTCAGTACCATTAACGACGCATCCTGTTAAAAGAAAGCATCGTCTTCATTGCGAAGTTTGGCCAGACCATAGATGGTACATATGCATATTATGAATCGGTTGAGAAGGATTATTGAAAAGTCCACCTGCCCTATTAAGAGGGCTACTGCCGTTTTCATCTGAAGAATCACTTGAACCTCCATTGGAGGGAGGACTAGATGCCACAGGTGCACCAAAGTTCAACATATGGGGTGTCGTTGCTGAAGACGGACCAGATGTCAAAATATTTGAGTTTGATTTTTTCCCCTCAGCCATAAAACTTCCCACGATTACCTATCAGAAATGGAAAATACAGTTTAATTTATATAAATTGCTCTCATACCTTATAAAATGTACATTATAGTTCTATGAATGGATACAAACAATGGTAGACTGATACCTGCACAGGAGATGCTGCCAATAGCATTCCAGCAACTCCACCACCCAAAACTCTGCCATCTGATCCCGCAAGGGACACACTCAATCCACCACTCCTGCTGCGACTACCATTGTCTTCAGAAAGCAGGAAAGAACCTGATAGTGAAATAATTTCAAATCGTCCCTGTGAAGAAGCATACAATTTAGAAGAGAGAATTTGGAATTCAAATCTCTTAAAAGATACAGTTTCACATTCATGCAAGGGATATTTTACAAAATAGAGACTGGGAGAAAGACCCAGCAGTTTATAGATAGCCTTTTACAACAAAAAAGATCATAGGGATGTTCAAGAGTGCATGAATTATCACAGTCAGCAATTTACAGAAGTAAAAACAAAATCACTAAAAGATATGACCACTGAAACTTGTCTGAATATTATATTAGGTACCGACTATTGCCAAGCCCTGAAGTTCACACGCACTTACACTTGTCAATTGACCATATCATATCACAATTGTTAAAAAAAAAAAAAAAAAAAAAAAAAAAAGCTTCCTAACCTGTTCTTGCAGTTGGCAGATACATGGAACCCTACCCTCCCAATACAGTGTTCCTGTCATACAGTAAATCCTAGCATTCGGATTGCAGTAACCGTTGCGTAGATAAACTTTACACAGGGTAGGGTTATGTCAATTTACTGAGGGAAGGGGGCTTGTCAAGAAAAAGGGGAAGAGACTTATAGTTAGTTATTTCACATTATATGTATACCTATATAGATATATATCAAATTCCGTAATAGTGATCCTTTAAATTGAAACTAGGATAAACAGATGTAATAGTGCATTACTGTGTAGTTGTTAAGCCCAATAAACTAAATTGAGCTCAAGTTCATTATAACCATCCTCTCTCAGTCCTATATTACTTAAATCCATGTTTGATGAGCATTGAAAAATCCAAAGTTCAAATTCTGGGCACTTAGAATTACATATGAGCCCATTATACCATCCACACCCGTGTCATAAGGATAACAACTGACTCAACTATCTCGTGTGCGATTCTCTTGTTTTCTTTTAACATTGCCAATCATTTCAATTGGAACTCCTGAATAAATTTCTCATGAAAGCAAGTTATTTACCATATCTGTCACTTGAATTATAGTAACTAGTTTAGCTAAAATCTTACTGAAATAATCTCATAGATAGAAACAAAGATATTATTACTTAAATTGTCCAACATTATACTCCAGAAAGCACACCATTTTACCTTTGAAATAATTAGTAAAAGATAAAACCTTTATGTTTAAACAATTCACCTTGGCATCATGACTAATATCACCTTCTATCCAGCTCTACCAGCAGATCTTTTAAAAATAAATTAATTAAGGTTCCTATGTTTTATGGGCAAGTACTAAATCTTAGAGAAACACAAAAGATCTAAACTAAACAGATGTTCAGAGAAAAAAAAAAAAAAACAGGTGTCATACATATTCAAATCAGAAATTACAATTGGCTTCTGCACTAAACCATATTTTAGGCCTGTTTCAGGGGCAAGTGCTTCTATGTAGGCAGTTTTGCATTGCTATTACCTCCATGTTCATTTGTCTAAGATTTTTCAATAAATTAAGGAAAGAAGGTTTTAAGTAGAAACATTTTGGTCGTCCACAGCTCCACATTCCACAGCCTTAAATTTTTGGAAGCCATCTTATCTAAGATGAGCCATAAATAAAATCGATTGCATTTCACTCAAACATAGGTAATGCTCTAATGGATCATAAATGAACATCAAAAGTACCTCATATGTCACAGTACCACCAGACATTGCTGGTTGGCGAAGGGTAACATTGCAGATGGCACCATTTGCGGAGAGAATACATACTGTCCGAGGTCCTTGCTGTGAAAATGCCATTATTTTTGATGCTATGTCCTGCAAATCAAAGGGCATAAGAAATTTTGAACAAATGGCTCCTTGTTAAAAAAGGGAGAGAGAGAGATAACCAGACTCTTTACACTCCTTCATGACCAACAAAAATATTAAACAAATTTATAGAATCCTATTATGGGAACCAAAAGGAAACAAATATTGGAAGGAAAAAGTAAGAAAGTCCTTGTATAATTTTACAACAGAAAACAGTGTGAAGGAGAACAAAATGAATATTAATCTTCATTTATAAATTCTTCTTTAAGAAATATCTATACTCCTATAATATTGTACAAATACAAAGCATAATCACAGCCTTTTTTCTAGTAACCCACATCATAAAGCTACTCTCTAGTCCTTTAATGACTGACATATGAGGAAGTATATTTATGTAATCCACTAATTGAATAACTACAGTGTGCATCTCTATCTTCCCTGCTTAAGGCATAGCATTTGTCAGATACAGGTTTGACACCACAAATGTGAGTTACATTTTATAAGTTCTACGGTCACCATATACCTGACTACGTCAAATGCAGAAGAGCCAAGAACTGCATAGAGCAATCAAGTAGATTAACAACACTAAATAAATGAATAAATAACACAGTTTCTTTTTCTTTTGCGGTTGTCACCACCAACTCTTCAAAACAATTTTCAAAAACCCTAGGAAATGGCTATCCAATATCTAGACAAGAACATCATACAGAGTCTAACTTCTCCAATTTACGTTTTCTTTCCATTTCCATTATCATGCTTAAACCTTCAATGAGGGAAAGAATATTGTCACTGTTGAATGGAATACGTTTTCTTTCTTTTTTCCTATAAAAAAGTAAAATACATTTTCTTGCACCCAAACATATCAATATACAAATTTATCATTCGCCTTGGCACTTGAAAAACCACAGTTAAATAATAATACTGTTTACACTGTAAAAAGATCTACAGTTGTAATAATGCTGACAATAGGATGTAAATAACTTAGCATACATCACTAATTTTGAGATCGTTCAGTTAAGAAGTATTATTAAACTGCTTTCATAGTGTTTCAAATTTCTGCCAATCTGCTAGCATGTTGACCAAATTTACCAATTTCCTAGATGAAACCAAACAGAAACTAATTGGAGAAAAAAGAAGAAGCTTGTATGATCACCCAAATCATCATTTTTCAACAAAGAAGAAAAAAACCCAAAAGATTAGTGACAATTCTGAATTCTGAAACCAACATTATAACAATATCCAAAATTCTTTCAACAACGGTCATAGGCTATGTATCTTGAAAAGACAAAACCCACTGACAGAAAGCAGAGTGCACGTAAAAAAGAGGGGAAAAAAAACTGCAGATACTGTTGAAAGTGTCATGAAAACTAAATCTTCTAGATATTAGCTACAATTCATCCAGATAAAATCTATCATGATTCGTAATACTGTCATGAAGTAATTGTATATTGATGTAGAAAATATCGTCTGGAAATGCTTTCAGTATGTTCTGACACACTAATATGAACGTTAATTTAAGAATATATGCACAAAAAAGGAAGCATTACTATTAGATATAAAAAGAACAATAAAGCAAGTCAATGGCATAGATCACATGAACCTTCAAGGTTTATTCATAAATTTATTAACAACATTTTTAACGTCAAATAATTCATTTACAATTAATGGCATAACATATAGTATTACAAATTCCATATATGCTTTAGAGCTTCTCAGATAAGATTCCAGTTAAGACTCAGAAATACGGTTTTAAATTGTTTTTTTGAAAATTCATTATAAGTTTTTCTAGTAATCTTATAGTAGTCACAAGGAAAAAAAAAAAATTCAAACAGAACATATTCAAATGGCATCTTTGACCATATAAATATCCAAAAATCTTAGATAGAGAAAAGATAAACTTCACCTAATATATATATAAGGTCTTGTAATTCAGATCCAAGCAGATTTGCAACTTAAGAATAGCAAATGACTGTATCAAGACGAAAGTTAAAATATGATACGAACCTATTAATTGCAAGTATGAAACTCTGTATATTAATAACCAGGTGACTGATATATGTTGGGTGACAGGTTGAGTGATGTCAAACTGCACATATAGGGTTATTACAATTTGCATACTCTTTGGCACTAACTCACCAGATTCTTTGCATGGAAAATCACATTTTTTTTTCTTTAATTAGATACCATATATAGAGAATGCAACATGATGTCTTTCACATATTCTAAGTATCTCATGTCATTCATGTGTGTTTTCTTTAGCTCCTCGACAAGGGTTGTAGTACGCGAACACTATCTTTCACACTACCTAAGATCACATCCTTAACTCATATACTAAGTTCAAAAATAGTTGTGTCTACACAATAGATCGTAATATTAATATCAATTTCACAAATTCCAGAGCTTGGAATATCCTCTAACACATTAGATTTACTTTAATGAAATTTATATCTGTCACCTCATGTGAAGCATCAATTTCCTTTCTTCAGCTGCTAAGCTAAAGCTAAGGAACGCAAGCACTAAATTTAAATTGATTAGCACTATTATTAAAATACCAAAAGAAAATATCTTTTCGATGTATAGCAAAAGCCATGCAAATAGAAGCCAGTGGACGCCAAGATTACTATTATAGAATTAAGGGAGAAAGAAAAGGAAATGCATCAATACCTCGCCGGTTTTCACTGTAATGACATGAGGGGTGAAACCCACCCCTCCAACTCCTCCTGTTCATAACAAAACGAAGATTGATTCTCATTTACTTTTAATCATTTTCAAACTATAAAATATTTCACATATTCACTAAAACTTACCCAATGCGTCCATCTGCCTTTTTCCCGAACCCGGAGGCCGGCCCCGGTTCTTCTTAGCCGGGGGCTCAGAGGCTGACGTGTCACCCCCACCACCAGAATCTCCACCGTGTGAAGCAGGCGACTGGGTGGGAGCCAGTCTGAGCGCAATGTTGCCGTCGGGCGCATACTTTCTCGGCCGGCCACGCTTCTTCTTGGAAGGATCAATGGAAAAGCCACCACCACCTGCCCTCAAAGACTGTGATCCATCAAAAGGGTTGGCAGCGGTGAGTGAATCAAGCGGCTTAGGCTGAGACTGAGGCTGTGATTGTGACGGTGACGGCGATGGTGGGGCCAGAGAGTTGAACTGGAACCTGTTGGCGGCATGAGCCGCCGAGGAGGGAGGCGGGATCATGGTGTTGTTGGCGGAGAAAGAAGAGTGCCCCATTAAAATGTTTGAATGCCCATGTTGCAGTGCATCCCTTGCATCCATTTCTCATAAAAATGAGAAAACAAAATGAAGAAAAAGAGACGGGTCCTTGTTTGTTTGGATTCCAAGAAATGTATTAGATTTGGTTAGTGAGTTTTTTTAAGTGATTAAGTCTAAAAGAATTTTGATGATGATGATGTTGAGTGAGTGGTGAGTTATCTACTTGAAATAGAACTTGGAGTTTAGTTTAGTTCTACCCCCTCTCAATTACGTCTAAACAAAACAAACCAAACCAGGAAAAAGAGAGAAAGTGAAAATGGGAATCTGCGAAGTTAAGTAGGGTTTTAAATTGGTTTCAGGGGTTTTGAAGTTAAAAAGTAGTGCAATTTCGCCCACCGTTTAAGGTGGGTTGGTGGGGTACGTGGCAAACGGTTATTGGGTTTGAAGGGTTTTTGTTACTGAGATAGAAGGGTAATATGGGGAAATAAAATTGTATATGAATTTGATCCCAAGATTGTTAGATTGGGAAGGATCTTTAGTTTATAAAATGATCTATCATGATTCATGAGTTCGTACTTTATGACATCTTTTCATCTATATAGAAGCTTAGTTTAGAGTCATGAATTTTCCTAATCAAATCAAGGTGTGAGAAAAGGCACAATTTGATTTTTTTTTTTTTTTTTCTATTGTTGGATTCTCTCATTCTCGATATAATACTATACTTGATGTGCTATTTGTATTATTCAAATTATTAATTAATTAGTTGTTATTGCTCTTCATCAAAGACTTTCAATGTCTTTACATAAGGCGCTGAAGCAGAAAATCTTCCTTGGTCAATTTAAGTAATAAAATAAACCATGGACCAAAATTCTAAATCCACTCCAAACTCTAGATTGCATGGGTAAGGCGGCCGAATTACTTGAAGAATAAATTGTTTTCTAGCTTGCATTTGAAAATAGTGAAATGAAAGTGGTTGCATTTTAGGTGACTCACATGATTGAGTTTAAGGAAAAAGTCGTAACTTGCCGGTACCTACCAATAAAAGAGACAATTCGCAATATTCCAAGCACATAAAGAGACATAACAGAAGTCTCATGTCCTGTAATGTAAAATGAACTCTGGAAATTACATATCACTACAGCAAGGCAGACTGTGAAAAAAAACAGCTCAAAAGCGAATTTTGCCGTCGCTAAAGCAAAGAGCAATTACGGACCAAAAGTTAAGCAAGAGAAAATTGCAACTTGGTTAAAGGTAGACATGTTGCATTAATAGTCAAAATTTCAACTACGCATGAAGTTAGCAATGTCAGAATTTCAAACTACTTTTTGCTAGTTATGAAAGCAAAAGCTAAAAGTCATTATTAACAAGGCGGGGGGAAAGAAAAAGCAAAGAACAGAAAAGAATATTCTGCCTTCACAGACACTTAAGTTTTGAGAGGGTGAAGCACAAAAAAAGAAATCAGCAATAAGTTGTCCTCTTGCAGAAATAAAAACAACTTTAATATATGTAATAGATTCCACACTCGAAACAATCGCAGTCATTTTCATCCACTAAATCTATCATTAAAATTGAACATAGCTGTAGGAAAACGCAATAAACGATGTATGATGTATTATCACAAAAATTGCTCAGTTTTCCATTTCTACGACGCTATCCTTGCCTTTACACCGCAAACATCAGATCAAACCAAGATAATCAATCACAATAATCATATTGACAGAACTCCACTGTGAGCAATTAAATATGCCCCAAGAATACAAGAAAGCGGAAACCGAGCTGCATCATTTGAGAGGGAAGCTCTTAGGCATATTCACCTTGTCACTAGGCAATCTATGATATAATTCCCTTTCAACTCCGCTCAACTAGCAAACATTCCCATCTCTGCTTAAGTCAAAGTAGAAATCTCACTGCAGCAATCTCATGTTTCTAGCACCTAATCTCATACGAACCAGCTTTGGTAATATAACGGACCCATTCAACAGTATTGTAGCCACTCTTCTCCCATACCTGCAGAAACGTGCTGGGGTCAATTGTGTTTTTTGATTAAAAAAAAAAAAAAATGATATTTAAGCAAAAATAAACACCTTTAGGAAACGAACACGTAAACCAGATGCTGTGAACATGGGAACCTGCAACAACAAAGATCAATCCAGTCGGGTTTCCTTGGTAAGAGATAATGTTAACGATGCAAGAACAATGCATTTTGTACATGAAAGGTGGAATACTTTACATGAATCAAAATCAATGAACTACACAAAACAGAAACATATTTAAGAACCTGAAATTCCATCTGAATTGGTGGCCTTGTCCAAGACTTCTTTTCTGCCATCGTGGAAATCAACTCAATCTCTGCACTCATGGTTGGCTCAGTTTGCCCAGGAAATTTTCTTATCCTGAAAAGTATGTAAACATGACACTAAGCAACACTTCGGAACTAAAACTAAGGAAGAAAAATGAACATATGGCCACATGAAATTCAAACATTTCACCTCAATCTCCTCAATTGGGGTTTAAAACTAGTTTTCCAAGAGGCCATTCTTTCAACAATCAGATATGTTTCAGATGCTAAGAACAAGTGATATAAAAGCATTAAGATAAATTTTTGGGGTGCATCAAATCTCATAAGGGAGACAGTTATTTTCTGAAGATAACACTGAAACCAAAATAGACAAAACTGCACACTAGTGTAGAATATAAGATCAAATCAATGGACTAGGGAATGAATTGAAACACTCACTTCCAAACCAAGCAATCAATTGCAGGATTGTACTTTGCTCGACCTGATGTCACTTGGAAACTTGTCTTTGCTGTCTGCTTTGGCACAGGAATTTTGATAACAACTCCAAGTGCAAACATTTTTGCACCAAAAACACTCTTTACCTGAAATTTACAATTTATAAGCAAAATGCAGACCCACGAGATTTTATAGAAAACTTTCAATACTACAGACCTTAACATTTACTTCCATGCGTGTTCGACCAAGCTCCTTAATTGTTGGCAGGACGCGGAATGGAAGATTAACACCCTCGGTTATACGATACCTAAATCGTTCAGACAAACAATCAGGCACAAGAAAATTAAAACTTATGCAACCACCAAGAAAGTACAATACAGTGTAATATTTTCTAGAGCTTTCATGTATTAAATGACAGTGATGTCATCACAAAACGAAAAAAACCAAGTAATCAATGTAGATGAAGAACCTGAGAATTAAAGGTGTAAAAGTTAGATTAAAAGAGGGAAAAATCTACTCTGTTACTAATTAAAAAAGAAATAGGAGTGTCTACAAAGACAAAAAGATAGAGCTTATCAGAAAAGATGAAGTAGTTTTGATTACATAACTTTCGCATTTTCAATCAAGAGGAATGGCAGAAGTGATGAACAAATGGGAAGGCAGAACTATACTATAAAAGGACATAGAGTGCAAAATAAATGGGGAAAACAACAACTAGGCTGACACAATGATGTGAAAAAAATTGTCAACTGTTAATGCCCCACTGCTAGTTTTATCAACAAATTTTTTTGACCAACCTAAAAAATTCTTTCAGCAGTAATTTAAGGCTAAGTGACTGGTATTTCTATAAAAGGCAGTTAAATTAAACAGAGGGATGGGTATCTGGAAGCTAATTTCACTTAAAAATAAAACCCAATTTGTATGCTTTAGTAAAATACAATATCATCACATGGCCTATGACTACAATTATAAGATTTAAGTCTCCCAACAGAACAGAAGTTCAGAAAATTTCTCAACTTACTTCATCAATTCAAATTCACCATCAGGTGGCACAAAACTCACAGTCTTCTCCGAGTTAAACCTCGTCAAGTTCACACATTGATGGAAAGTAACATCATCAAGCTCAATTGTTTTGCCACTGCAAACAATATAGCAATTTCAATTAACCACATGAAAAGGAGCACAAAATTTATTGCAGTTCTTTATTTTAAATATGTATAATCTCAAACAAAATGCAACACTCAATATACTGAAGAAACAGCGAGAATAAAAGCTGACTCATATATATACATTAAAAGAACAAAGCAAACCTTGCATTCTCTCATTCAAATTCAAATAAAATCCAAATGTGACTATGATTTGAAACTAATTTTATAAAACCCAACTGTATCTTGATTTATATTAGACAAGCCATTTATAAACGTATATAAATAATCTGAACCAAGGAAACTTATAGCCTTCATACATCAGCAAAGGTTTGCACATAGTCATAGACTTTAAGAATCTAAAAAGTTGTGCTAAGCTATGGGAAAAGAATGAAAACTGTAGTATCATGGCTATATTTAATCGACTGTAATAGGAGCGAGACAGAAGCAAAAAAAAAAAAAAAAAAAAAAAAAAAAAAAAAAAAAAAAAAAAAAGTATATAACAACTCCAATAAGAAGCGTATCACAGAAACAAAAAGAATAATTACATTGCTTTAAATAAACAACAGCTGATGGCTCATGCATACCAGCATTTAGATCCAACAATACCACTAAATAGGTATCAATAGAATTATCACAGAGAAAAATAGGATTTTATTTTAAATATTTCGAAGTTTGAAGCATAATAGATAGAGAAAATCTACTGTGATTCAACTTACAAAATAATGAAAATTCTGACATATATTAACATCCCCATTCAGTCACTGATAAGATACTTCTACAAGCTACTCTGTAACTTTTAACCTTCTATGGTTGAAAAGCAACCAGATTAAAAGAACAATTACTGAACAAAAGCTACCAAAAAAGATAAGACCCAGAGAACAACGAGATCTTCTAACAAAGAATTTAGCAATTTGTAAACAAACAACTCTGACATTCAGTTAATTATTAATAAAAGAGTGGAGCCATAAATCCCAAAGTTTCCTCTACACACCCAATTTTTAACAAATAAAATTGCAATTCATAATAGAAGGAAAAAAATAATCAACACGGCAAATTTTGTAGATAATACATGCAAGCCATCAGAAGGTACCTTTTAGTAGGACGGGATTTCAGCTGTGACTCTTTCTCAAGGCCGATTTTATCGTTTAAACCCAACTTCAAATCAGGCATTCCAGAGAGGAAGCATTTCATAAGA